AATATTTTGAGGTTCCTTGCACCTGCCAGATAAGTGAGCTTTCTTACTTACCAGGTAAGATTGCTGGAACCTCTGTAAACAAGGTACCAGGCCAATATTTCCAAGTGGCTTTATTCCAGAAAGTCCACATTATTCCTCAAAGGCTGTACTGTCATATCTGAGCCTGTATGTTTCTCTCAAATACGACATTCCAGCCAAAGCCTCAGTAATATAACCAGCATTTCCAAATGTGTCCTGTTATAAGGAGAACAGATTCTTATTGAACTTATGCAAATAACTATATTGCCATGAAAATAACCATACTCACTGAGTTTCCAAATTCTGGAGGGCTCAAGTAGGGAGAAAAAGAAAAATTTTCAGCTCTGCTCACAACGGTATAATTTCACCAAATTGCTATAAGTCACAATTAACATAAGAGAAAAAGATTTCCTTAAATCTGAGAAAACAAAGCAAAACATTAAAAACTCAAGAATATTTCAAACAAAAGTCATAAAAATTATGATCATCTCATCCTCCTCAGTTCACACAGTCCTGTATAATTGGTTCTTGAGCTTAATCTATTGTTAGCAGATTTAGGAGGTCATCAGTTTCTCTGTTAGAATTCTGTAATTTCTTACCCAGTTCAGTATCACAATCTGAACGTTTATCAGAAACCTGTATTTTAGAACCCTGTGTCAGAATCCTTTCCATGAACTTCTCTGAAGATGAAACATATTTGCAAAAGCAAAAAGCATCAGAGTAAAACAGCAACCATCTGCAAATGACAAAAGACTCAAAAGGGCAACTGACAAAGAAACTTGTCTACTCCCATGACATAAAACACTTCAAGATAATAACTGGAATTATGGCTGACAATAAGGACAGATCAGAATTTTAGGAATGTTATATAATTTCAAAACACCTATATCAATAGCATTCACCCACATAATACCACCTAAGAAAATTTATCATCACTTATTTGACAATCCTTTCCATGTAATTTAATAGACCAAATAAGCCTAATTAGTTTAGCACTTTCCTCCTTATAGGAAAAGAGAGCAAATTTCTTTGAGAAGTCTCAGGGGCCCTCTGAAAATCCTCCGAGAAATTGTCTTCCTTCTACCAGGTCAGAAGAAAGACTTCATTCAGGATTTGAATATTTTTTTGAGGGAGAAGCTTGTCAAAAATATCAAAAAGTATTCAAACACTTGTTCAGATAGGAAACAAAGGTCACTGTGAAATAATGCTCAGGTTTATATTTAAAATGACAACAGAAACAGTCAAAAAATCTTAACAGAGAGACCTTAGTCTTTCTGAACATAGGGAATTATTTTAACAAAACAGATTTTCTGTATTTTAGGTAGACTTACACAAAGAAACACATTTTATAACCTCTTTATCAAGAGCATACCAAAAGTTCAAGAAAATTATCCTTTTGAGAGAGAAAACCAAATTTTAATTTTTGAACCAGCTTATTTTTGACATTAAAACTCATTTACTTAATTGGATTTACTTTAATCTTAGCCAACCTGACCAGGCATAAATCTCCCTTCAGAATTTCTCCCTCACAAAGATACAACTTTCTTTTTGCTTTCAGATGTCCCATGCTTTCTGTCTTTGCTTCTAGGACTTTAGGACAAATTTATCTTTCTTAACCCAATGAACAAAAATACTTCCATTCTTTATACCTTCTTTAAAGAAAACATACATTTTAATTTCCTTGTATACAGAGCTGTTTTCTTTATTAATTTTTAGTAGCTTTAATTATATATATTAATTAGAATTTTTAACCCTTGCAGACCCTAGTAAAAACTAAATAGGTAAGCAGTTGTGAACTGTCTTATATCAGCATTCTAAACACTTTTCATAATTTCCAGAAACATGTTACTTCATAGTAATAAAACACAAAGCTTGTTTGCTAACAGACGAAAACACTTTTTAGCCTCTCTGCAATAAGAAGCCAAAAGTAGATAAACTTAGACATGTTCAGCAATATCCCATCCCAAAATGACCCAGAAGCTCAACAGATTTTTATCACTTAACTTGGAAAAACACTAAAGTTTTAAGTTACCAAAAAGAATTTGGAAGCTTTTTTCCCCAAGTATACAGACCATAAAACATAATTATTGTACCCAAAAACTCTTACCCATTTTTATCTATGCAAATCATTTGTTTCCAACAATTATGTTCAGATTACCCACAAAAACCTCATGAGATATTAGACGAAATTAGCTATCAGTTAAAGCTATTATTTTGCTGATGAATTTCTAACAGACACCGTGAACTTCTTTGACTAGTAAACCCAGGCTGCAAGCCTGCATCATATCCAAATACTGACAGCTCTGAGGACACGTCCATTTTAATCAAGCCAACAAACTTAAAAACAAGCTTTCATTTATCAGAGATTAATCTATATCAAGTTAACTTAAAAGACATTAGGTTAATTTCTATTACATTTAGAATGTACGTAAGCACTTACTTTAAGCCAATTAAACAGAGCTCTTAATTTTGGCCATAACACCCAGAGGTAAAATATCACACATATATAACACACATATAGACACACATACACAGAGTCTCCACAGCTATTGTTTTAAAAGTTACTGCCAAGGGGGCCCGCCCCGTGGCCGAGTGGTTAAGTTTGTGTGTTCCGCTGCAGGCGGCCCAGTGTTTCATTGGTTCAAATCCTGGGCGCAGACATGGCACTGCTCATTGAGCCACGCTGAGGTGGTGTCCCACATGCCACAATTAGAAGGACCCACAACTAAGGACATACAACTATGTACCCGGGGGCTTTGGGGAGAAAAAGGAAAAAATAAAATCTTTAAAAAAAAAATTACTGCCAAGAATCAGGTACAGTAATACAAAGCTCACCAGTTACGAGTCCAAATTTTGTTTTGAGCCTTTTTACTAACATTTGTGGAGAAGACATTTAAGATGCTAGATTTTTGTCAAGGGTGCTCTTATGGCCGTTTTCCCTTTTTCCCTTTGTTTCCCTTCAGTCTTATGAATTAGTGATGGGCTAGATAGTCCACAGAGGATTTGCAAGCTCTTTGAGATAAGGGAAATGGGTAGAACCTGAACCACCTCTAGAACTGCTTTTCCAGTCTTACAAGGATTTTCCAAGGACAGTTGCTCTTGATTTCCCACAAACTGGGTTGTAACTCAAATGACATTATAGGTTGATCTACCTGTCCAACTACATCACAAAGGCACAGAGAAACCCCTCAAGTTTTCTCCAAAATGGAGTTTCTGGGGCATAACCCATCCAATTGAAAGGGTTTCCAATTAGTTAAAATGCACCCAAGGGGTGAGTCTCCGGGGATGCTTGGGGTGTTCCTCATGGCAGTAAAGCTGGTGTCCGACTGACAGCAGTTGGAGAAAGGGTGCAGAGCCCGAATGAGTGTGTCAACATAGTTATAAGATTTAGTCAAGTTCTGCTTAGCCTGGGCACTTAGTCCCTGAGCCAGCACAAGGCAAGACAGGGAAGCAGAAGGAAAAGGTCTGGAGCTGGCTGGGGGCTGGGGCTCCCAGTGTCGGGGTTGAGAGTTAAGCCCCTAGCAAAAGGTTTTCAAGTTTTTAACTTTACAGAGGGTCCAGGTTCTGCTCAAGTCCAGCCTGAACTTAACCTAGACTTGGTGACAACAGAGGAGGTGACAAATGAAACAGACAAAGACAGGAAAAGAGGAGATCAGGCTTGCCCTCACAGGCTCTTCCCAAGGGTTATCAAGATGAGGGTCACACAACAGTTCCCACGCCAGCAGGACAGTTCACAGAAGAAATCACAGATCTCCTACCCTCGTTAACAACTCAGTAGGCACCTAAAACACTCAACAAGTGAACCACCAAGAGAGGGCACACCACTTGGGGTCACCAGGGTGATCAGGACTGGAAACCAGAGGTGGGGCACTCCCAGGGCTGAAGCCTTTGACTCTTTAAAGCTTTCTTTGTTTCTCAGTTGCAAAGCTCAAAAGGAGCCCCAAATGGCCACTGTAACTTTAAGAGAGATGAAAGAAAATGGTCCATTACCTTGAAATCCCCCCTGATTCTAGGGCAGCGTCCTGCTCGTTGTTCCTCCTTTGGGTTCTTACAGCAAGGGGTGATAGGGGCGTCCTCCTGCATTGCGTCCCTTATATATCTTCCCTATTATGCCTGGCAGTAATAGGTGCCTGGTGAATAGTCCCAGAGGTAAAAGAATAGAGAAAAACAGTGAGGAATTTTCTGCAGGTCTGGGGGACAATCTACCCAGCTGCATACTGGAGGCTTTCTCCCAAGAAGGCGTTCCCATACTCAACCAAAGATTCGAGTTTGATACTTTCCTTGAACCAGAGTCCTGGTTGAGACTTTCCCACAGTTCAGAGTGTGGTCAGGAGCCATAGGGAGGGATACCAATCCAACGTTAGGAAAAGAAACCTGCCACAGGAGTCTTGGCGATTGACAACTGTCCTAATGATTTAAGTGGTTGACCCACACCCATGTAAAATGTATATATTAGAGACAGGATTAGGAAGGAATGGATTAATTCATTCTTCATCACCCTCATGCTTAAGGTACTGATTCTCTTCAAGCTGAATGCCATGATTTGCCCCATAGAGTAGCCATGGGCGGCAAACTTGGATTCATACAGCTGTCTGAGAAGGTTCCTGATAAATAAGTGAATTTAGATCCATCCTTGAAAAAGAGGAAGGCACAGGAAGAAAAGGGCATTTACCAGAACTTCAGCTCACAAGCCGGTGAGGCAAGATTCCCATACGGGCCACCAGAAGAAATGATGCGGGCTCAGCAAGCCGAGGAGTCAAAAGAAAGATTTCCTGCACTCTCAAGGTCTGGTAGTAGTGCTCCTTTATTCAGAGACTAGCATGGAGACAGGACCCATGGGCAGTGAAGAGCTACAGGCATGGGACAGGACCCATGGGCAGTGAAAGGCTGCAGGCATGGGGACAGGACCCACGGGCAGTAAGAGCTGCAATGGGTTGAGGGTAGGGCTAAATTTATAAGGCATAGGTATGTGAGTTATTTTTCATTAAACGAAGGAAAGATCATGTAAAAAAGTCACTAAAATGGTATCAGTGCAGGTGGCGTCTGGTTATCAGGTGGACCTATAACTTTGGATACGGATCAGGTCAGGACCTCCTATGCTTCCCGGAGGATGATATAGATCGGTATGTAGGGCAGGGCGCCTTGGGCTTCTCTCCCTGGGGCAGCCTTGATCCTCATCACTGGGATGTGAATATTCCCGTCCTCACTTGGCTGAAAAGGAAACTAAAGTTCAGAAAATTGATCTGCCCCAAGGCCACCATGAAGGCACTTGGATTTGAGCCCAGGTCGCCTGACTCTAAATCCCACGCTCTTTCCACCAGAACATGATGCAGGCTGGGAGAAACCAACCTGTCTCAACTGAGACAGTGGAAGAAATGGGGACTGAGGGCAGGAGATCATATAGAAAGGAAAAAAATGAAGAATAAAAGAAAGTATAGAAGAAAAGTAGGAAACCTCTTTTCTGAGTATGAGTAGAATCACAGAAGAAATTGCCTAGAAAAGAGAAGATAATCTGACTTGGGAAATGGGAAAAATTCCTGGGATTGAAAAAAATTCAGGAACTAGAGACAGAAAATCTGGGTTTAGAAGCTAGAGCAGGGATCTCCAGGGGGAAGATGAAGACACCTGCACCTTTTGCTTTGGGTCTGAGAGGAGACAGCACTCAATTACCGACCTTCCTCTCTGGTCACCTGACTCGTGCTGGTATAAAAGCTCTCCACCACCCAGGTTCCCTACGACGTTTTCCCGTGTGACATGCGCGGAGGCAGTGGCTAAGGCTCTGTTCCTCTCTCCCAGGAACCTTCAGACTTTCCTTCAGGACGACCCAAGAGGCCATCCACCCACAGTGAAGACAAGGCAAGGCAGCTGGCTTGGGAAGTGAGGCCAGGATCAGAATTGGAGGGGAGGTGCTGGGGGCTGGAGGAGGCCTGTCAGAAACTGAATGGAAGGGTCATGCCGGGAGACAGGAGCCAGCATCAGGGCAAGGAAGCTTGGACCGGGACATCCAGCCCGGAGAGAGGATGGAGGGGCCAGACTGTGTGTGGGCAGCGAGGGTTACAACCAAGTGGAAACTGAGTCACCCCACTGAGAAGAGTTCTTTGGTTTATAGTCAAAACACCACACTGGGGAGCCAGTTACTGCCCGTGGGCTTTTCTGAATATTCTCTAAAGTCTCTCGGGGAACAAGCCCCAAAGGATAGTGCTGGCTCCCCGTTCCTCCTGCTTCCCCCTCTCTGCACCTCACCAACTTCCCCTTTTCAGTATAGGCCCGGAGTCTGGACAGCACTGGACGGGGAGGAGAAGGTGAAGGTGGATCTGCGTTCTGCAAGAGGAGAGGGAAACGAGGTAGGGAGAGGGTTGGGGGCTGGGCACCTGCTTCCTGGCGGGTGGTGGGTCCCAGGGCCAGGTTCTCACAGCCCAGGTCTCCTGAGAGACCTCTTATGGCTCTCTCCTCGGTGTGATGAGGCTTGACCTTTCTCTCCACAGGTCTCTGACTGAGGAAGTGACCTAAGAAAAGTCGGAAACTGATAGCAGTAACTTCCTGTGTCTGTGAGGAGAGCAGAGAGGCTGGGAAACCGGAGGGGGAATTCCCTTGGGAAGCCAAGGGTTGGTCTCCCCCAGAGACACATGACAGCAAACGTAATAACTACTGCTTAATTCCCGCCCAAGGCAAAGTCAATAATTGCTCTGGGCAGCCCTGGCGGGTGGTGTGAGCCAGCAGTGGTGGCAGCGGAAAGCCTTGGCCTGGGAAGAGGAGCGTGCCAGGGAAGATGTCCACATCCTGAGCCAGAGGAGCATCTGCAGGCTGTGAGTGGGGCCTCCTGACCCTGCCCTTTCTCATCCTCTTCCAGAATGATCATGCCAAGCTCCTTGATCGTCGTGTTCTACATCATCATCTTCGTCACTGGTCTCCCTGCCAACCTGGTGGCCCTGTGGGCCTTCCTGAAGCGGGTCCGCCAGCCGCACCCTGCACCCATCCACATCCTCCTGCTCAACCTGACGCTGGCGGACCTCCTGCTGCTGCTGCTGCTGCCCTTCAAGATCATCGAGGCCGCGTCTGACTTCCACTGGTATCTGCCGGAGGTGGTCTGTGCCACTGTGGGATTTGGCTTCTACAGCAGCATCTACTGCACCACGTGGCTCCTGGCGGCCATCAGCATCGAGCGCTACCTGGGAGTGGCCTTCCCCGTGCAGTACAAGCTGTCCCGCCGGCCTGTGTATGGAGTGGTTGCTGCTCTGGTCGCCTGGATCACGTCCTTTGGTCACTGCACCATCGTGATCATCGTTCAGTACTTTAACTCAACCCAGAAGGCCACAAATATAGAAGTTACGTGCTATCGGAACTTCACCCAGGAGCAGCTGGAGGTGGTGCTCCCCGTGCGGCTGGAGCTGTGCCTCGTGCTCTTCTTCATCCCCATGGTGATCACCATCTTCTGCTACTGGCGCTTTGTATGGATCATGCTCACCCAGCCCCACGTGGGGGCCCAGAGGCGGCGCCGAGCTGTGGGGCTGGCTATCGTGACGCTCCTTAATTTCCTGGTGTGCTTTGGGCCTTATAACATATCCCACCTGGTGGGGTTTTACACGAAGGAAAGCCCCAAGTGGCGGGTGGAAGCTGTGGTAATCAGTGCCCTCAACGCCAGTCTGGACCCACTGCTTTTCTATTTCTCTTCTTCCACTGCGCGCAGAGCCTTTGAGAAAAGGCTGCAGGTGCTGCAGGGCCCAGGCTCCTCCCTGCTGGGACTCAGAGACAGAGGCTCCGTGGAGGTGACCAACAGGGTCGGGGGTTTGAGTCAAGTAGAGGGAGCACCCAGTTCCGACTTCACCACAGACTAGGGATGGGACCTCTGGACCTTCTGGGCTACGGGTGAGCTGAGCAGGCTGGGAGAGGAGAGCATGAGGGTGTCTGTCCCACACTCAGGAATCCTCAGACCCAGGCCACAACTGGGACTGCAAAAATCTCTCTCACTCGCCTGGTATCCCTTCCTGACTGAATTTTCCTTCTCAAAGGAGCACAGCTCCATGACAAAAGCAGAAATGGTTAGGCATAGCAGCAGTATCAGACCAGAGTTTCAAAAGCAACACAGCTAATGCGAATCCAGTCCTTGTGAGGCGGGTGGTGGCGGGGGATGGTCGGGCTGAAGCACAGAGTCCTAAAGCAATCTTGCTGCAAGCTCTGAAACAACTCCTAGACACTGGTCTGGCTGTTGATGCTGGAAGGAAGCCAACAGGGACGAGATGGAAGAGAAATACTAAATGAGGTCAAAGACGACTTGGGAAGGTCCTGAGCCAAGTGGACGAGGAGGGAGGACTCGGGGCTAAGACCTCTGAGGATCCAGGTCTGCGCTGTACCGATTTGACCCGCTGCTTTGTAAGTACGCTCCGGTCGTCTTCATGTGTGTATCTGCCTCCCCTATTAAAGGGAGCTGCCTGAGGTCTGGGTCTTGTCTTCTTCCTCCACGGCACCCCACACAGGTCAGGACACAGCGTGGCACCCGGCAGTCAGAGGTCAGCAATGACTAGCACAGGAAAAGAACACCTGATCTGGCAGATTGAAAACAAAGATAATAGAACTCTGAAGTGAGTGCCCACAATCTGTGTAACCCTTCTGCAAGCACAGGGAGGGCAAAAGCGGGGTGGACAAGCCGACTCAGCAGCAGAGGGGGCAGGGATGCATCTGAGGCCGCAGCAACGCCTTATGGTAATGATGTAACGAGAGGAAGAGAGTGAGGGCACTGGTGGAATCCTTTTAGATGGATGGAGAGAGACCGGACTTAGAAGGAGGACGTGGGGTGAGTCCTGCCTCCAAGGCGCGTCACAAGGGCTTCAAACACCTTACCCTCCTGCTTAGAAACCTGTGGAGCTTTCCTATCATCAGAAGCTTTCCCCCTCCAGACTCAGATCATCTCCTTCCATTGCCCACTTTGTGTCTCCTCTCCCTTCCCATTTCCACCTGCCTAAGTCATTCTCCACAGCAGGGACCCCGAGGAAGCTCTCTCTACCTACCTGACCCTCCAGTCCTTAGCCTCCAGACCCTTGCAACAGAGGCTGCACATCGGAATTACGTGTAGAGGTATAAAAATAATACAGATGGCCTCAAATCTACTGACTCAGAATCTCCAGGGGTGAGGCCCCAGCAGGCGAGCTTATGAAGCTCGCCAGGTGATTATGATGTGCAGCTCGAGTTAGGAAGCACCAGCCTGGCTCAGGGGCCCCATCTGTCCAACAAACTATTCTCTTTTTTTTAATGCTTTTTGGTGAGGAAGATTGGCCCTGAGCTAACATCTGTTGCCAATCATCCTTTTTTTTTTTCTCCCCAAAGCGCCAGTGCATGGTTGAATATCCTAGTTGTAGGTCCTTCTAGTTCTTCTAGGTGGGACGCTGCCACAGCATGGCTTCATGAGTGGTGCTAGGTCTGCGCCAAGGATCCATACTGGTGAATCCTGAGGGGTCTAAGCGGAGTGTGCGAACGTAACCCCTCAGCCACCAGACCAGACCCCCAAGAAACTGTTACTCAGAGAAGCCTTTCCTGCTTATAAGCTCCCTCACCTCAACCCCACACTCCCTCATCTTCTGATTGCTTGCTTTCTCCTCTCTCATAAAACCCCACTCACTTTCTCCAGAAGGACTTCCCTTACGATTCCCAGCCAACTGAGAGCTCATTTTCTCTCTCTCCCTTCCTCCAAACAACACTGGGCTGGTGTCCTAAGGGCCCTGACGTCAGTGTTAGTTTGGCTTCCTAGCTGGATGATCTTGAGCAAGCCACGACCTCCCGCCTCCATTCCCAAATCATAACAATAGGGAGAAGGTACGCCTCCAGCGTTCCTCTGAGGATTCCACTGAGACCGCACGTATAAAACTGCTGAGAAATTAGAGTATTATTCAGCTTAAAGATAGCAACCCACGTGAAACACAGAGAAACCCCCACTTAAAAGAAGTCTAATAAGAAGAAATTTAAAACGATGGAAAGAATATATTTAGAGAGCCAACTATATAGGATGGTTTGACAGCCACGGGTGAGAAAACAATCTGGGATTTTCAGCTGACCGTAGGCTTCCTACGCGTCTGTGATGCAGTAGACCTGCCAAAAAAAGCTAATTGGGTTCTGGGGAGCATTAAAAAAAACAGAGTCTAAACAAGTCGATGACAATCCTGCTCTAGCGAGGTCTGGGGAGCAGCATGTCCAGTTCTGAGCAGCACGTCTCGGAAAGGATGCTGACTCAGGAACCAAGCTCAGAAACACTAATCCAAGTGTTTGGGGGATTTAAAACCATATCCTGATGATGATGATGATGATGATGATGATGATGATACATATTAGATGCCAGGCACTGTTCTGGGGAGGGAGCCTGAGACAATTCAGGGAACCTAATTGGCTGGAACGAGATGAGGACCGGTGGAAGATGCATTCTACGTGGCCCCGTGGGGAAGAACGAGGATCGCGGATGAAAGGAGCAGGGAGCCGCACTTCAGGCAGGGCTGTTTAAAATGGGCCTGACCACCTGAACAAGGCAGTCACTTCCCAGGCCCCAGGACATTGCAGCACAAGAGAGAAAATGACCATCTTAGGACATGGAGGAAACCCGCACATCTGATAAGGGCTGACCATTTAACTGCCACACCCCTTCCACCTCAGAGATTCCAGGGTTTTAGGGCCATGGCTGTTCTTGCTAATCAGGAAAGTGCAAGAAAATCTCTGGACCTGGTCCGAGACCTCCAGAGTGAAGCTTCCGCTCTCATAAACAAGTATTTGATCCTCCTCAAGTCACTTGATATACAGCCCGTTTCTGCACTGGGAGATCAGTAATCCATTTGTTCAACAAATACGTGTTGATTGCCTACAATAAGTCAGACACACTTTCAGGTGCTGGGGATGCAGGGTGTGTAAGAGGCAAGGGACCTGCCCTTTTGAGGCTTCCAATCCAGTGGGAAAAAATAGTTAACAAACAAGTAAACAAATATACAAGCAAAGTAATTTCAGAATGTGGCCAATGGTTTTTACAAACAAACTAAAACAGGGATATGGGAGAAAGCGTACTGGGGGGTGGAGGGGGTCTAGAAGATTCTCCTGAGTCAGTGATGTTCAGCTGAGACCTGAACAAAGAGAAGGAGTCGCCCACAAAGGCCCATGGGCAGAGCACTCTAGAAACAGGAACCGTTGGTGCAAAGGCCCTGAGGAGAGAGAAAACCTTAGCATCTCAAGGGCAGAGAGAAGGCCAGCGTGGAGCTAGAGCAGTGGTCTGCAAACCTGGGTGTGTGCGAGAATCACACGGACATTTGCTGAAGCCTCAGTTACTGTCTTGCCTCCCCACAGTTTCAGAATCTGTAGGTCTGCGGTGAACCCAAGGGTTATTTCTAACAATCCCAGGTGATGCTGACACTGGTGGCTGGGGGACCACACTTTGAAAACCACCGGGCTGGAATACCGTGAACTGGGGAGAGAGCGACAGAAGATGAAGTCAAGGAGGTCAGCAGGGACCAGACGATGCAAAGTCCGTTGGGCCACAGACAGGAGTCTGAATTTATTCTAAGAGCTTTTGAAACCATTTGAGGGTTTTAAGCAAGAGAGTGGAATGATCCGATTTCTACTCTAAGACACTCACTCTGGTATCTGTGCCCACCAGTGAAGTGAAGTGGTTGTTAGGATCGAGGAGATAATGTGCATGACAGAGTTAAGAATCATAAAGTACTACAGCAAACATGCAGGGTTTGCATCAGGCTGGGAGCTCCCCGAAAGTGGGGGCTGTTTCCTGTTTTATTAGCATTGGCTGTCCAAAGACCAAACAGCCGGGAGGAGCCCTTATAAGTTTATCATACATCTGCTTGATAAACAGACGTCCCCAGAGTATGCTGGAAGTTGTTTAACTACAAGTTCTGGGGATGGGGGTTTGGGGGCGGGGGAAGGCCCTGATTTGTAGCACTTGCTAATTTCTGTGGCATGCACACTCCCACCAGGGCCAATTGCCACCACCGTGAAGACGCTGGGCACAGGTTTTGCAAGTGGTGTTAATAATCAGCTCTTGCAAGCCAGTTCAAGCACGTCCCTGGAAGCACCTCCCAGCACATATGTTCAGCTGGCGACAGATCACATCCTCTTTGAAAAAATTTTCTCTCTCCCTGGCTACATATAGCACGGGCTCCAGCAGAGGACTTTTGACACGATAAACACTGGCTAAATATGGCTGGCTGGGCCTCATCCAAGAGGATCCGGTGGCTGGTTAGAATCTCCTGCAGGATGACAGATGGGTAAACAGAAATATTAGTGCTTGGTTAACGAATAACACAGACAGCAGCCTTGAGCTGCTACCGGGAAACCTGGCTGGAGGGAGCCGGCTCAGCCTGCCCTGGGGGCTTGAAACGGGAGCAGGAAACGGGAGTCCGGCACAGACTGTTCCACTGCCCCTTTCTGGAAAAGATGCTGTTGCGCCCCTTCCTCAGGAATTCTCATCTGACCATACGGCCAGAGAGCACGGGTCGCGTGGTTTTGTGGTGATCATTGTGGTCGGAGAAGGCAGGGGCAAGGCGGGCAGGGAGAGGGCCGGAAGGAAAGCACACAGCCAAGACTCTGACTCCACTCCTTTTGACTGCCTGGCCCCTCAGCTCCAGGATTCTGTCAGTTCTCTTTTTTCCAGCTTTCTCTACCTCCTGTGGTTAGATATTTTTGCCCCATTTTTTCTTTTCATTACTTTTCTCTAGTCACAGAAAATGAGGACATTCTCATCAACAAAGTGTACATTCGACCAGGAAACTGGGCCAAAGATCTCTAAGCTCTCAGAAGCAGTAGTCCAGTAACACACTCGGCAAACTTTCAAATGTCTGGTGAGGTCGAAGACGTGAGGTCAAGGGGTAGAGGTGGGAGCCAATGCCACCGACGCAGGCCACGGTCAGCCGCCCACCAGCAGCTTACCCAAGGAGGGGCCACCCACGGCTCTATTATAATCCCGGGCTCCCTCTCCCGGGCGTTGTCCCCTGCCACCTGTCAGCCAGAGCAATGATTGGCCTCAAGGAAACAGTGTTAGGAAAGTAAATATGATGCCCCCAAATCTAGATATTTTAGATAAAAAGCCACATGTATAACAGTCTAGAATTTCTAAAGTGTCACAGCAGACATTACGTCACTGGACTTTCCACGGGTGTAGGCATTCCTTCTGCCGCAGACGTTTGTGGAGGCCTCCTCTGTGTTACGCCCTGGTCCAGGCGCTAAAGACACCACAGTGAACGAGGATGAGGTCCCTGCTGTCACGCAGCTCACCGTCCAAGGAGAGAGGCAGACGGAGACCAATAGACACCCTGAGGCGGGCTGCGAGCTGTGAAGACAGGAAGGCAGAGTCGGGGCAGAGAACGCCTGGAGGAGGGCAGTAGGTGGCTACTCTTGACTGACTGGCTTAGGAAGGCCTCTCAAAAGTGACACTGGAGACGCGACCAGAATGACAAGAAGAATCATGCACCTCAAGAGCCTGGGGTGGGGGGGGGATCTTCCAAGCAAAGGGCTCAAGGCGAATGCAAGGCTGGAACAAGGTGAATTTGCCAAGGAACAGAAAGGCCAGGTAACTGGGGCTTAGTGATCGCTGGAGGGGCGGGCTAGGGTCAGATTTGGGGCTCTCCGAGGTTTATGAGAAGGAGCACAGCACATATCTTCTCCCCGGTTACCAAGAAGAGAAGCTGCGGCTCAGAGAGGTAAAGTGACATGCGCCAGTCCTCATCAAGACGGTCTCTTGACCCCTGGTCCCAGGCTCCAGGCTCCCTCTCAAAACTGGATGCACACGCTCCCCTTCACTCACTCATCCGGTATCTCGCTGTGGAAGGGAAAGGAGGGTGGGACCCCTGGCTCATGCAGTGTGCACTTGTCGGTGTAGAAAGCTGGGGAGAGAGCAGAGGCTGCAGAAGTTCTGAGGCAAGAAAGGAGCAGAGGTGGACCCAGTGCCTGAGCGCTGAGAGCACCGCGGGGACAATGCAGAGGGCCAGGTGCTGGGAGTGAGTCACGGCTGAGGACGGGCCAGACACCTGGGCTCTGAGAAAGAGACGGGAGGCTGAGGCAGTAACCAGGAGCCAGAGCCTACTGTCCCCGTGTCCACCGACCTGGGACAGAAATGGCAGTGTGAGGACAGAATGGTGGAGCTTTGGGGACTCTTAGAAAGCCTCCAGTCCAGTGATTTTCAGTCCGGGCTGCCCTCCAGAGCCACCTGAGGAGCTTCTAAAAAGGCCAGTGCATTGGGGTCCTTTGTTTTGTTAAACGTCTCCATGTGCTTGGAAGCCTGGTGAGGCTGGGAGTCACCATGTCTGGTCCTGCTCCTCCCCTGGCCTGGCCAGAGGGCTCCAGGGA